AAGTTTAAGACCAGGCTTATAAACATGGTTCTGTTCTTCAGTTCTAGTTAAGAAGACAGAGCTACACATCCTCACCATGGTTGACTGGATGATGTCTCTTAAATCTCTTTGCCTCTTAACCATCAGCATCTCTGTGTCTTGGATGGCTTTAAGAAAGGTGAAGTACTGAGGACTGAAATACAGCAAATTATATTCCATGCTCATATGATTATGTCAAAATGAACCCAATATTACATATAACTATAATGCACTAATAAAAACATAAAGAAAGGAAAAAGAAAAAGAGATACAATAGCTAAGTCTGTCTGCCTCAGATTAGAATGGCAACTGTAGATACAGAGATATATAATCCTTAGGAATCCTCTTGCCAGCACAACACAAAAATCTCCACAAGATAAAAGCATGCCTCTGTAAGAATGTCCCTTCAGCACAGCCCTTACTGCAACATAATCTCTGAAAATTGGTCAATGTCCTCATCACTTGTGCAGTCACAGTTCTCTAAGACATATTTTGTGTCAGTGGGTGAGGGGGTGGCTAGTGCTGGGGATCAAACCCAGAGTCTCACAGATGATAAGTGCATGCCCTACCACTGATTTACAACCCAACCCAAATTTTTTAAAGATCTGCAGTACCAAGTGGAAAATATAGAAAGTAGGTACCAATAATCATTATATAAGGAATCAAAGGAAACTAGTATGGAATTGTAAACTTATAATTTTTTTCAGTTAAAAAACTTAATATTGGGAAAAATTAGGTGTTTGTTCAAAAATTCTTCCCTAAATTAATTTAATTTTAATTTCTTAGAAATATTTATATTATTTTGATTGAACAAAAAAAAATAATATTTTTCTTACTTTAACAACAACAACAACATCAACAAACAACTAGGTCTGTGACTTTGTCCTTATTATTATCCAAGTCTGCTCTGAAGGGTAAGAATTGATTCTGTTCATCTGTTGTGACTGTTCTTCTTTCTTCCCCTAACATCTTCCTCAGAAATGTATATAAATTATCCTCTTGTACTTCTAATAATTTTTCTTCGTAAAATTTTTTACTTTATATTAGAGTGTGACAAGGATGTTTCTTCTTCATGTAAGCCAGACAAATTTCTCCTTTTGTTTGATTTGTTTTAAATTCTTTGTTGGTAAAATTCAATTTCCAGAGTAAAACTACAAATGAGGACAAATAAACTCAGGGTGAAGCAGATCATTATAAGCTGTTTTATTTGATGGCCCCAAACCACGTAAAGGTACTATTAAGTTATCTAGAAGGTACAGCCCACAACTCTTACAAGAAAAACACCAGTCACCAATCTGGGAAACAAAGTTTAAACAAGGCATCGGCTGCTATTTTCTGCTTTCACTTTAGAGTGAAAGCTAGGAGTGGTGGTCACAGTGTAATCCCCGCAGTTCAGGAAACTGAGGCAGGAGGATCTCATGTTTAAGGTCAGCCTCATCAACTTAGAAGACCCTGTCTCAAAATAAAATGGATTGGGGATGTAGCTCAGTAGTAGAGCACCCCTGGATTCAATCTCCAGTACAGAAAAAAAAAAAAAAAAACCCAACACCCCCGCAAGTCCTAAACCTTAAAATAAGAACATATACAATAAATTTAAACAAAAGAAGTGATTCTTAAAATATCCAAAGAAAAAAGAATATACAGGGGGAAGATTAAGAAATCAACCCAGTGTTTTATCTAAAAATACTATCTATGAGTTGAAGCCACTCTTTAATTAGTTGAATGTGGGGAATTTGAGTAGTTGCCTCAATGCCCATTTGTTCTGGGTAGCTTCTGCCTGAGGTTCAGATTCTCTTAAGTATCCATTTCTAGAATGGTCTTCTCATTTACCAAGAAGAGAACATTTCACAATTATCTAACCTGCAAATTTTAGCAGCATGGTATTTTTTGTATCAGCAAAGATAAGATGAAACAGGTGTCATCAAGCATCTGATGAGTTTCTAAGGAACTAAAATATACATATTTCTATAGAGATATAAAAAGCTAGTCTAAAATTAACTAAAGGCATAGAATTTACCCTGTGATTAATTCACTGAAGTCAATATGTAAAAAATGTGTACGTTAGGGAATATGTTTCTATGTGAAGGAGATCATTATGTAATCAAGAAACTGTAAAAACAAAAACAAAACAGAGAGAGAAAAAAAATACTTAGCAAAAGTAGTTCAATGCCCTACTCATCATAGCAAGATTAACACACAGATATCTAAAAACAAACTATAGACCCAAAAGATTTAGGTATATCACATTCAGTTTTGTTTCAGTATCTCTGAAAACTAATTACATGAAAAAAATGATAAATTACCAGGTTAGAGAAAGAGCTGCCACTGAAATAGAAGGACTGCCATAAAATAAGCCACAAAACAGTTAAAAAGACAATACATGACATCATATAACATGTTGGAAAGTAAGACAAAATAAGAAAGCCCAAGGAAGGAGACCCCACACAGGCATCAAACTCCAAGATAAGCATCTTCCTCATAAACAGTGGACTCCAAAGCATGGGTCCACAATGAGATAAGCACTTCCTGATTCAGATGCAATTATAAAACATATTAGATTCCTTATTATTTATTTGTGTGTGTGTGTGTGTGTATATGTGTGTACGTTTGCAGTGCTAGGCATAGAACCTAGGGCCTCACACATACTAGGCAAGCACTCTGCCACACAGTTTCAACCACACCCATTTTATTTTATTTTAAGACATGGTCTTGCTAAGTTGCTCAGGCTGGCTTTGAACTTATGATTTTCTTGCCTCAGTCTCCTACACACCTGGGATTGCAGGCATTCACCACCACACCCATCTAGAGTCTTTTTAATATAAGAAACTAAAATAAAAATTTCTCATAAAGAATTCACATTATTTACCCTCATTTTGTTAAACATCAGTAGGAAAGTAATTCTGTTACTAGTGATCCTGTTAGATAAAGCAGATATAGGTTCTACAACAAAACATTATTTACTCAAAAAATGTGTTAGACAATATGTACTTCTCATTCAAAAAGGATTCAAACCACTTGAGAGGTAACTGAAGAAAGAATTATTCATAAAATTCCAATTCCTTATCTATGGACCATCTTAGTCAATGCTAAAGAAAGTGGCACACACATTTCATTGTTTTGGTCATCTTTCAGAAAGGAACCATGGCTTTCTGGAGGAAAAATTGGCCTAGAAAAAATAATACTAAAACTTAGCCACCAAAAAGTCCCTTTGCTATGCAAAAGATCCACGCTTTCATGTAAAGGCCCAATGCCATAGAGCAATATTCAGAAACTTCTAGGAGGTATAGTAGATCTGATAAAAATATAGGTAAACTAATAGCAAAGGCCTAATTTCTTTCTTAAAAAAATAAATTTAAGAAAATTTTTTTTTTGCAACAGAGAGAAACTATGGAAACAACAAAACACGGAACTATTTCTTTGTTATGGAAGGCAATTTTACACAGAGCTAAAATGGTTACATGATAAATATGGAGTATTGCCTTAGACTCCATACTGAATCTGCCAACTTAAAAACATTGTAGCATTCTGGCAACATGTATTCCAGACAGCTAGTCACTTGACAATAACACATTAATAACATGGTAATTTAAGAACATTTCAGAAGCCCAACAAGACCTACTCTTTCAACCTATATATTTCAGGTTAAAATATATAACATTTCCAGAATTTTAAACGATAATTCCAGATCAGCCTGAACTGTTAGTACTCTCACAATGAGACTATCAAAAATGCATGTTTAAGTTATCCATCACAATATCCCATTCAATGCAGGGAAGCCAGGAGCTAGATTGCCCATTTCTGTGTTGTTTCCAGGGGACATCTATATTTGCCAAGTTAAAGCAGAGAAACAAAAATGAGTCTTCTAAAGAAAGTGTCCACATTAAAAATTAAGGTATAGCCCTGGATGTGGACAGCTCAATAAGCTACAAGGTACAACTCCCTCACTAAGAAATCAGAAAGCTAAGAAAATAAAAAAACTTCACTAGCTTTGAAACTTGGCGGTGGCAGGGGTGGGGAGGGTTGAGGGGGGGGAGGCGCAGGCACAGGCAGAAGCTTTGGTTTTTTCCAAAAGTGACCTTCACAAATCAGTTCTGTGATAGTTCCCATTTTCTTTTGCAGTTTAAGCCTCAATCAGATCAGCAGTCTTCAGGGATTTTGAAATCACTATAGATTAAAATCCTCTCTGACTCAACTGTTTCACTAACGCTGAGTGAGTATTTAATAATTCTACTTGTGAGAGACTTTTTGGACAAAAATCCTGATGCATGTTATCTTCAGATGTCCCACAGCTGCACAACAGTGCAAAGCAAACTACTTAGTTGCTTCACCACTCACGGGAGAGAAGCGGAAATATATTACTAATAATTCAACTATTTAGCAGGCTTCACTGAAAGCATTTTTTATAATACTAAGGCAGCAACTATCACCTACAAAGGCAAAAGGCTCCTGCCAGGTACTAATGATCCATTCTCACAGACTGAGTCCAAGGATAGGACATTAATAACTGTGATAGATAGGCTAGAGTAAAGTTAATGAATTTCTTAACTTTATGCTTCCAATAATAAAACTACTCAAGCTTTAGTATTTGGACTCTCTCAACATCCACAGATCAGGCACTCTGATACTCAACAGGTTGAGTAAATTGAATCCATATATTGTATTTACGTTCTCTGTCAAGGTTGCTTCTCTACATTTCAGTGATCAAAGGCAAAACAGTCATCAACCCTGTAGCCTTCAATACTATGTTCATTACATTTAATCAAGTGCCAACTCCAACGTATTATTTACCAACCTTAAGAAAGTTCAAATGCATGGCGCTGTTTAGTAACAAATACAGGAAAGGAACTGAATTAATACACAGACAATCCCACCAAAAAAGAAAACCAACCAAGGCAAATGAATATCATCCTCTACATTGTGCAAGGAAATAAATTTAAAATGCATAAAAAAGTCCAGTAAACATGTGTGAGGAGGTTTTCTACCTGAGGCAGCATCAATCACTGTGGAAACTCCCCTTCGATCAGAGACTGGGCGGGATGACCCTGGCATGCTGACTGGGTCAGAGCGGACTGGCTGGATCCTGCAACACAATTTAATTTAAATCACATATGTTACTGGCATGAACACTATTGCTTGCTACAACAGACCTTAAATCAGGAATGCTGAAACAGCTCAATCCATTAGAGAATCCTTCATTCTAAATCCAGACAAAATGGGAGTTGGAGTCCCTAAGTCTTGTACACAGCCAAACTATATTCCTCCACTCCAACACCCTTTCTAACTCATTTTTGTGTGTTACTCAACAGATTTTTAAATAAGGGATTTTTTTAAAAAAATGATATTAAAATGACAGAAAGAGTAGAATGGGACAGGGAACAAAATACTTTATAATGAAATCTTTGGCTTTCACAAGGGACACATATGAAGAGCTCCAAGACTCTTCAAATTCATTAATGAAATCATAGCTAGTAATGAGTTCCATAAAAGGCAGCAATGCATGATTCAAAATTTTAAGAAACTTCCTTATAATTATCAACAAAACACAGGATAACAAAGCTGTGTTGTGAGTGCAGGGGTCTAATTTAGGACCAGTACTAACCAAGTAACTTCCATAAAATTCCCAATTAATATACAAGAATTAATTGGGACCACAGCAAAATGGCAATTTATTACAAAAAGTAGTGTAAGAATAATGAATGTTTAAACACCAAGGGAAGTTTTCTAGCTACATCAGAATAAATATTATTAACATATAAATATCTGGAGTTGGGATATCCAGGTCCTGAGTCTGATAGTGAACAAGGTTATAAAAAAAAAAAAAAAAACCTAATGCCCTTTAATAGATGAATGGATAAAAAAAAATGTGGCATATATACACAATGGAATAAAAGAGAATAAAATCATGGCATTTGCAGGTAAATGGATGGAGTTAGAAAAGATAATGCTAAGTGAGGTTAGCCAATCCTAAAAAACCAAATGCTGAATGTTTTCTCTAATATAAGGAGGCTGATTCATACTGAGGTAGGGAGAGGGAGCATGGGAGGAATAGATGAACTCTAGATAGGGCAGAGGAGTAGGAGGGGGAAGGAGGGGCATGGAGTTAAAATGATGGTGGAATGTGATGAACATTATTATCCAAAGTACATGTATGTACTTTGTGTGAATGAATATACTTTGTATAAAACCAGAGATATGAAAAATTGTGCTCTATATGTGTAATAAGAATTGTAATGCATTCTTCTGTCATATATAAATAAAAAAATTAAAAGAAAAAAATTTTAAAAAGGTCTTGGGAGTTCAAGGAAACTTTTACATGTATTTCTGGTAATTCATTCATAAATGGCTATTTACTGAATATTGACTGCATGTCACCATTATTTTAGGAAGAAGTAGGGAAAAAATGAAACACAAGATCTATATGTGGATATATGACATAGCACATGAACATTAATGAATTGATGTTAAAGAAACTGAATTAGAAAATAACATTAAAAAAGTTCAGAATGAGAAGGGAGAATATGCATCATTTAGTATGTACAGATCAATGATCAACTGCATGTATAACAGTGGTTAGGTAAGAGCATACTGCATAACTCTCTTGGTTTGTGTTACTACACAATATGAAATCAGTAATGACAAAATAAGCTAGCAAATAATTTCTCATTAAGTAATACATAACCGTATATGCAGACTCTACAGAAATGGATCTGTATATAGTATGCTTACTCCTCCGTATCCATGGTTTCAGTATCTTGGATTTAACCAACCATGGACCAAAAGTATTCAAGAAAAAAAAAAAAAAGCAAAAAACCAAAACTGTTATCTGTACTAAACATGTACAGACTTTTTTCTTGTCATTGTTCCCTAAACAATATTGGGTAACTATTATTTACATAGCATTTACATCATATAAGGGTTACTCATAACAGAGTGATGATTTAAAGAGAGGATATGCATAGGTTATATGCAAATACTATACCACAATAAAAGGGACTTGAGCATCCTTAGATTGTGGCATCCTCAGGGCTTCCTAGAACCAATTTCCAGTGGATACCATGGGATAGTTATAATAAGATATGTAGAGATGAAGAGGAGAAAGAAGTGTCTTTGAAGCACAAGACTAGAACAGGCAGAGCCTTAGAATTTTAACGAAGTAGGAAAAATGCATGCATTCTTGATGTACAGGATTTGGCTGAAAAAAGAGTTCATAACATTATTATTGGTGGGGGATAAGAAGTGATGATAAAAACACGAAACAGATTCCAGAAGCTTGAAATGCCAATTGCAGATAAAGAAATCAGTTATTGAAAATAAAGTTTGAAAGTATGTGTGTTTGTTGTGGTACAGGTCTTGGACACAGCTATGGAAGAACATCTAGCATTCCACTGCAGCTAATTTTTCTAAGGCAGTCATGGTAACCCCTCCTATCTTGGCAGTAATCACTTAGTTCTGGGATGTGCAAGCCTAAGCAAATATGGCCCAGTAACAAAAAGATAGCATATTTGAAGTTTCTTATTCTTGAGAACAACAAGAAGCTAGCTTGTCAAAGATAGTCAGTTCATCCACAGTAAAGGCCCCATCCAATCTAAACACTTTCTTATTTGGAATAATTCATTTTCTATTATTTATTAAGCTTATATTAGGGTTTCTGAATAATCCAGAGTTGGGGACAGGTATAGATTGGCCATGAATTAATGTGTTACAGCGGGGCAACAAATACATAGGTCTTTTTTTCTATCTCTTTATTTTATGTATATTTACACTTTTCCATAATTAAAAAAGATAAACTGGTTATGATTATAGAAACATTCTGGAATTCAATAGTGGAGATGGATGCACACGATGGTGAATATTCTAAACACTGCTGTGCACTTTATGCATGGGGGGGTGCTAGGGATTGAACCCGAGGCCTTGTGCATGCTGGGCATGTGCTCGAGAATGGAGCTATACCTCCACCAACAGTACCGTACACTTAAAATTGGTGAATTTTATGTTATGTGAATTATATACCAATTAAAATAAAATGATTGTTACCAATCTTTGAGGAGATAGGCGTGAGTAGAAAGGGTGATTCTGAATACTCAGCTTCATTTACATTATGTTTTTTAGGTCAATCAACAAGTATATCATTAAATTTTTTACATTTTGGATCCTTGCTGTGGATAAGGAACTGCCATGAGGTTAAACTTTATCTGATTTCTTTATGACAGTCAACATATTGTTTATCTACTTCCTACTGGGAGATGTAGGCAGGCAGACTATGACTGTACAACATATTTATGATATCTTTTTTTTGTTTTTGAGAGATAGAGAATTTTATAATATTTATTTTTTAGTTTTCGGTGGACACAACATCTTTATTTTATTTTTATGTGGTGCTGAGGATCGAACCCAGCGCCCCACGCATGCCAGGCGAGTGCGCTACTGCTTAAGCACATCCTCAGCCCAATTTATGATATATTAATGGAGTACAGGGACAGTGTAATAGGTACTAAGGATCAACTGATACAAAAAAAATTTAGTAAAATTCTTCACAGTTTAAAGGAGAACGGAAGACTGATGCCCAGCCATAGTGCCATTGTGTATAAGTCTGAAAAATGTAGATGTACCACAGGTGAAGCACTGGACTAGAAGAGAATAAGCAACAACGAGGAGAATTTGTTTTATTTTATTGCATTGTACTAGGGATTGAACTCAGGGATGCTTTGCCTCTGAGCTACACCCTGAGCCCTTTTTATTTTTAATTTTTACTTTGAGGAAGGGAGTTGCTGAAGGTCTCACCAAATTTCAAGGCTGGCCTCTAACTTGTGATCCTCCTACCTCAGTCTCCTGAGTCTCTGGGATTATGGCAATAAGAATTTCATTTAGTTGAGTCCTAGTTGAATGCTGGGGTGGGAAATGATATGTAAAAAGACACAAAGTTGATGTGAGTTAAATCTGAATTTCTCATTAAAACTATGCTGCAATGGGAGCTAAGGTCTTAAAAAAAGAGTCTAAACAAGTCTATTTGCTCAAATTTTAAAATATAAATTACAAAGGCAATCAAAAAAGATTTATAAAACTGGTTAATATAAATATTTTTAGTAGTCAATAAACAGAACAATATTCTAATCAAACATAAACAATTTAAAGTCATTTTGATATAAAGAATACTGGGAGCTTGGGCGGGGGATGTGGCTCAAGCGGTAATGCGCTTGCCCGGCATGCACGGAGCGCTGTGGGTTCGATCCTCAGCACCACATTAAAAAAATAAAATAAAGATGCTGTGTCCACAGAAAAAAATGAAAAATAAATATTAAAAAAATATTCTCTCTCTCTCTCTCTCTCTTCTCTCCCTCTCTTTCTCTTTAAAAAAAAAAAAAAAAGAATACTGGGAGCTCTTTTGTATAAGAAGGAAAGTCTCTGAGGAATATGCTAAAGGATTTTGGAAATGTAAGTACATTAAAAAAAAAAAAGCAAGATAGAAAGATCTTAGGAAAAGGGTGGTGTCCGAGGTAAAGGACAGTGATGACTGCTGGAGGCAGAGCTGTGTGGAGAAGCTCAAGACGGCTTCCCAAGACTAGAGACAGGGCCTTCCAAGAACAGCTGCTGACAGGCACTAAAAAAAATAGTGATAGGTTCTTGTACATGTTTCAGCAAAGAGAATGAACAGGTTACATAATTATAAAGAGAACAAGTGGGTCACCTATTTTAAAAGCTTTATTATTAACATTTAAATAATGACTGTGGTAAATGGATAATGATCCATTCAATCATCAAGTTAACGGCTGACTCAATGTGACTACCTGAGAATGGCTCGACTAACTAACGAGACCATATTTTATGATAAGCAACACTGAAAATTCATCTAACACCCATGATATCCTGTCCTTGTTGACTGACATCGTGGTAGAAAAGTGTCAGTTTTGTAAAATGTATTGGAACCAAACAAAAATTTAGGGAAGAAGAAAATCACACAAAGTAAGCATCTAAACATACAAAAACAGACAAAACATACAAAAACAAACACTAAACAAGGACTTGGTTTCTCCTTAGGAACTTTCCTTTCTACAAAGATCCATCAGTGAGTGGAAAGCCAATATGTAAACAGGGAGACATAAAAAGGAACCAAGTGACTGGAGGTGTGGCTGCTGGCAAATGAAAAACAGAGTGGAAGGATTCCCAATATATTTTGGAATATGAGATAAAATTTGATGAGTTACATGCAGCAAGTGAGAAAGGTGGAGATGACTAGAATAACCCCTAGATCCTGGCTTGAGTACTAGCTGCTTAAAGACTCATGTAAAGAGATGAGAAAGGTAAGGGGAAGAGCAGGATTAGGGATGAGCTGAATAGCTGAGATTCAGACAGGGGAGTGTTTGACACTTTGGAGACCATGAGAGGAAACATCAACCAGGCAGCTGGCTCTACTCCAGGTGTAGTTCCCAGAGCCTTGTAGAGCACCTGGCGGGTACTCAACAAATATGTACTAAATTTAAAAATAAACAAGAAAGACCTAATCCAGCTTTGCAATATATATATATATATATATATATATATATATATATATATATATATATTTTTTTTTTTTTTTTTTTTTTGTCATAAAAATGTTTAGGGGCTGGCATTGTGGCTCAGTGGCAGAGTGCTTGCCTCACACATATGAAGCACTGGGTTCGATCCTCAGCACCACATAAAAATAAGTACATAAAATAAAGGTATTGTGTTCATCTACAACTAAAAAAATATTTTAAAAAATGTTTAATTGCAGGGATTGGGGTTGTGGCTCTGGGGTAGAGTGCTTGCCTAGCATGTATGAGGCACTGGGTTCGATCCTTAACAACACATTAAAACTAAACAAATAAAATAAAGGAATTGTCTCCATTAAAAAAAAAAATGTTTAATTGCAGTTGGGGTTGTGGCTCAGTGGTAGAGGTACTGGGCTCAATCCTCAGCACCATATAAAAATAAATAAAACAAAACAGAGGTATTATTTCCATCTACAACTAGAAAAAAAAATTTTTAAATGTTTAATTGCTGTTGGCAAAGAGATAAAAATTTCATGAGAATGGAATATCTTTTACCACAATTGTATTTTAAAAAATATTCAAGAAGGTCATACAGTTGCTTTATAATCAAATCTAGAGGGTTGGGGATATAGCTTAGTTGGAAGTCTGCTTGCCTCGAATTCACAAGGCCCTGGGTTCAATCCCCAGTATCATACACACACACACACAAAAAAAAAAAAATCTAGAAGCATAGATTTGTGTTGGGGGTGGGAGGTGGGGAGGTGGGGAGCTGCTGGTGATCAAACTCAGGCCTTTGTAATGATAAGCAAGGACTCTACCACAGAGCTACAGTCCCAGGTATGTGTGTGTGTACATGTGTGTGTGTGTGTGTGTGTGTGTAAGGGAGAAAAAAGGCACAGGAGATTATACGGCATTAGACTGAACCCTTCATTATTTGTAGCACCTCAGTATGGCAAGTCTTGAGGGAGCAAATTAAACTGCTAAGCAAATGTGAGACCATGAAAGCAAAAAATACCTGTATTGCATTTAAAATGTAAGTAATAATAATAAAAAGCATAATTTGTATACATGAACTATGGTTCTGGCAAAAAAGGAGTGTAGGGTAACATATAATAACACTCAATTTCTCATCCTAAAACTTTCTATAATCTAAAAGAAGGGTGACAATTCACAATAGCAAGACTGTGGAACCAACCCAGATGCCCTTCAATGGATGAATGGATACAAAAAATGTGGCATTTATACACAATGGAGTATTACGCAGCACTAGAAAATGACAAAATCATGGAATCTGCAGGGAAATGGATGGCATTAGAGCAGATTATGCTACGTGAAGCTAGCCAATCCCTAAAAAAACAAATGCCAAATGTCTTCTTTGATATAATGAGAGCAACTAAGAACAGAGCAGGGAGGAAGAGCAAGAGGAAAAGATTAACATTAAACAGAGACATGAGGTGGGAGGGAAAGGGAGAGAAAAGGGAAATTGCATGGAAATGGAAGGAGACCCTCATTGTTATACAAAATTACATATAAGAGGTTGTGAGGGAAAAGGGAAAAAAATAAAAAAAAAAAAAACAAGGGAGAGAATTAAATTACAGCAGATGGGATAGAGAGAGAAGATGGGAGGGGAGGGGAGGGGGGATAGTAGAGGATAGGAAAGGTAGCAGAATACAACAATTACTAATATGGCATTATGTAAAAATGTGGATGTGTAACCGATGTGATTCTGCAATCTGTATACAGGGTAAAAATGGGAGTTTATAACCCACTTGAATCTAAAGTATGAAATATGAGATGTCAAGAGCTTTGTAATGTTTTGAACAAACCAATAAAAAAAATAAAAGAAGGGTGATTCAGGATTAGATGAAGTCTAATTGAAAGGAAAAAAAAAATCATAATCAGATTTCAACATTTAGAAATGTGGGCCAAATATCACAAATGAGGATGGCTATTCAAAGTGTCCTGAATTTAGAGAAATCACAATCTGAAACACAAATATTGATCACATGTGTTCAGATGTTAAGAGATGACAGTGAATCACAGGTAACAGTGCATACTGTTGGCAACATGATATCATGTCACAAATGTTACCAAGGATGCTCATTTTGAATGAATTTGCCAATCCTACCATTAAGTAACTCCCTCGTTCTCATTGCCTACCTGAGACTGTTGAGATCAAGGTCATCTGTATCAAAATCCAAAAGAGGTTGTGGAGTGTCACTTGGACCATGAGACTGCAACACAGATGAACTGGAGGATATGACTGTGGTTTGGCCTGAGGGGTGGATGGTTTTGAACTGGAACTGTGGACCCATCCACAGCCGTCTGTGGGGTCCAGTGTGTGTAACAATTTCAACCTGAAAAAGAGTTGGAATCATGATTTAAACAAATCACAACTAGAATTTGAGGGCCTTTCACAATACCTGAATCCCATATTCTTGAAGCCCATCTTGATGTGGGAAAGGGTCGGTGTACCCACAATCAAAGGTGATCATAGTTATAGCCTAAATACACATTCACTATATCCCTTTACTGGTTTTCACTGACATTATAAAAATTCATTTGTGTAAATACACACACACATGCATCACATACGCAATTCAAAAATTATGAAAGAGAAAAGACTAGTTTCTGGACTTATATAACTAATATTAGCTCCCTAGGGATTATCTTTTTTCATTCATTCTACACTACTTACCTTCTAGTGGGCATCCCTGGATACTATACCTACTAATCCACATATTAAAAGCAATTCCTTCACTCAACATCAAACTCATGAAGAAGTTGAAATTGTTCCTGAAACTTTACCTATCTCAAAATAAAAAATAAAAAAGACTGGGGATTTAGCTCAATGGTAAGCATCTGGATGTTCAATCCCCAGTACTCCCATCCAAAAAAAAAAAAAAAAAAACCCAAACCCCCCCAAAACACCCAGCAACTCAGGAGGCTAAGGCAGGAGGACCACAAGTTCAAGGAAAGTCTCAGCAACTCAGTGAAATCCTATCTCAAAATAAAAAATAAAAAGGGCTAGGGATAGGGCTAAGTGATAAAGCACTCCTGAGTTCAATCTCCACCAGTATTAGAAAGAAAAGGTCTGACATACTTTTTAACACCACAGCTAGTTTCTATAATTCAATATTATAATATTTATGCTGCTTTCAAATTTTAAAAAACCCTACTTTTAAATGGAAAATCATATGTATTTTCTCAAACTAAATTTCATATTCAAAATATTGTTATTTAATTAGTTTCCTCAACAGCCACAAACACTGACAGGCATTTTATGCACACACGCACATGCACACACGCACACACAAAACACATACATAGTAATACCAAAATACTTTATAAATTTCATCATCTATGAAATGGATAGGGAAATGTTGCCAATATTATCTTAAACACTGTAAAGAAAAAGCATATAGAAGACAATGTGCAAAACCTGAAAATGTGTGTATTTCATGGTTTTACAAATGATCAACTTGAATAAGAAACTAAATATGCAAACCTTTGGTGAAAAACTACTGTATTATCTCCAAGTCTTGTCATTGCTATATCTGTGTCTACGCAAACACTTTAGGGAGCGACTTCCCCCCATTCCTTGAATCTTTGCCCTGGTTCTTTTATATTTAATCACATTTCTCTGATTGCAGTGATTAATTCTTAACAAAACATAACTGAAAAGGTTCATAGAGTGTAGTTCTGTGTTTTTGAGTCTGAAAGGGCAAAAGCATCATGGTCTTGGAACAATATGCACATTCCCACTAATCACAGGGAGAAAAACATTGAGATTGAGGACAGTGATTTCTGATTCAAGTAGTTGTATTCAGCAATGTAAATTAGGCCACAGATAAAGCATTCTGTGTATTTTAAGCTCAGAACCATCAGTGTCACAGAGCCGAGAGGTAAACAGATGCCTGTGCAATCTCACTGAGGCGATGGCCAGATGTTCCTGTATTCCGCTCCTGTTGTGCGCAGGACAAACATATTGTATATACTTTCACACTGACAGCACACATTACCCCTTCTTCTAATTGAAAAGTTGAAGTGAAGGACAGTGGTTTCTTTGCCAGCATTCTTGGACAATATTTTGATTTTGGAAAAAGCATGTGCATTTTGGGTTTAATTTATCTTGTATCATCAAGAGAGGATGGGCTTTCATATGTCAGAATCTGAGCCTTCATTCAAGGAGATTCCCTTGAGTATTTGTGGTGTAATAAATTAAATAGATGTTACTTAGAAACTTCTTGATTCTCCAATTGCCAGATTCATTTTCACTTTTCAGGCTACCTTCCCTGAGAAAGAAATGAAACAACAAAGGGATTCCACTTTTTCTGAGGCATCTGTCTGATGCAAAGCTGCCAGATTGGTAATCTGAGACAGGTCATTAACTTCATCAAATGATGTCAGACTTGAGGCAGACATAACATTATTTGTAGTGAAATCACTTGTAATCTCATCATTTGACAACTGCCCATGTATCTTTTATTTCAAAGCTCCCGAGTTAAAGACAGCTCCAGTAAGGTACAGGACCTTCAGTTAAAACTGTTACAGGACAGGTTTAGAGCACTACTTGAACTTAGGAAAGGAAACCTAGTCAGGCACCATCAGGATTTGTGCACAGTACAATGCTGAATTTCCATAATGAAAGTATGGGCCATCTTCAGAAAATGCTGGCTCTACAAAATGATTCCCAAACACTGTTGAATGGCTTCATTGTTTTAACAAGCAAAACTCTTACTTTAAATCTGATGAAAATGTGTTCCAAAGAGTCTGTCTAAAGTATAAGGTCTCAATGACCTTAAGTGGACTGTTGGAAAGATATATACATTTTATGCTCTCTGTATTAAAGCTAACTCACATACACACACTCACTCTCTGTGTATATATATGAACATAGATTCTTATATATGAAAGGAATGTTTATGTATAACACATGTATGTGCAAAATATAGAGGAATATGTGTGTATATACCTCAGGGAATATTTTTGATAAATTTTAAATATACAGAGAATGATTCATTCTTAATGATTCAACAAAGAATTACCAATTCTATAATTTTTGTCTAAGGAAAAGAATAAAAACAGACAATGGATTCCGTTTTATTTTAATGCTCCAAATACATCATTATTTTTACCTGCGAAAGCCATTCTTCATCTTCTTGTCCACTATGGTCAGATGCTAAACTGTCATAGGACCCATGTCGAGTGATGGGTCCAGGACTTCCAGGGGGAACCACTGTGGGAGAAAGAACACAGATTTCAACCACTTTAATTTATGCAGTGGAGAAATGGGTATGAATATAGCCAGCTCAAATACTGTGGTTATGTATAAGATAAAGATGACATTTAAAACACAGAGGCAACTCATACAATGAATGAATAAATAAAACTGAAGTTCCTAAGAATAAGAAAATTTTTCAATTAAGAGCATACTTTAAAAACTATCTGTAGGGCTAGCCAGGTGTGCTGGCACAAGCCCGCAGCCCTAGCTACTTGTTGAGGCTAAGGCAGGAGGATCACTGAAGTCCACAAGGTTGAGACTAGCCTGGGCAACATAAGATGCCAGATTTTTAAAAAATGATATCTTATCACTATAAAATAAACAAACAACTAACTTCATATTAATATCAAAATGCATTGAGGAATAGCAACAAATCTATTCACTGGTGGACTACATTAAAAGTCTTTAGAAGAGCCAGGCATGGTGGTACATGCCTGTAACCTCAGCAACTTGGGAGGCTGAGGTAGGAGGACTACAGGAGGCTGAGGTTTGAGGCCAATCTCATCACCTCAGCAAGGTCATAAGCAACATAGTGAGACTTATCTTAAAATTAAAAAAAAAATAATAATAATTTTGGAATGTAACTCAGTGTTAAAGTACTCCCAGGTTCAATGTTCAGTACAAATTTTTTTCCTTTTAAACAAACTACTTACCCATTAGTATCAACTAAATGGTGGGCATAAGAATGTAAATTTAATTAAAAACACTTTCAGTTGCTAAAATTTTTTTTTTTATTTATCCAATATTTCACTTTCTTGGATATTTCAGTTTTCCCTGACTTTGACTCGGTAAGATACAGTCAAACTACAGTCTACTTTCTCATACAAAAAGAACATTTGCCTAGTGGAAACAGAAAAACAATTCAATAAATATAAATATTTTATCCTCCCAAATCTTAGCCTCTTCTTTGGAAGATCCACTCACTCATTCTATCCATCCATCTCTAAATGGACTTTATTTTGTCTAGAGCTGTTTTAGGTTCACATTCAAATAGAAATGAAAGTGCACAGATTTCCAATATACCCACTACCCCCATGTATCATTTTAATACTCTGAGAAATCAAACAATGAAGTAATGAGAAAATGGAAAAAAAATAAAAGATGGGACAGCAACAGTAGGAAGAAAAGTAGAAGAGCATTAAAGAAATATGGACAAAATAAAAAAGAATGAGAAACAGAAAACAATCTCATCACTTGTACCATGCAATAATGCAGTATATACATGTATAGTCAAAAGTTTTCTTAGGCTAGATTCCTGAAAATGGAATCAGAGGATGTGAATGTTTTAAAATTTCTTCCTACATATTCCCAGAAAGAGCTATACACTTCCATGAGCAGTAAAGAAGGATGTCAATCTTAATGCAATCTTGACAGAACAAGGTATTTAGAACAAAATCTTAGGGAAACAGATACAAATGAAGAATACGCAGTATAACCTAGGGCAAGACTTAAAAGACACATGCTCACCAAAAGCTTATCTTAACTCCTTACAAGAGGAGAAATAGGACTGAGTTCAGTCAGTTACTCAGCAGGTGTATACAGTGTTGAAATGAAGATCTGTGGTAGTTAAAACTGCTAGCTAGCTGCTACTTCTTCAAAATCATAGTTCTATAACTGAGAGGCAAGCTGGGGTTCGGCACAAAACATAGATGACCATGAAGGGATACACCTAAATTCTTGTGATGGAAATGGTATCATAAGGCAGAGAATGTCATAATAATTATCAATTGTTATTTAAGCATTCTTGGAGAAATAATTATGGTATGTTTTACAAAGAATATAAGTCAACTGATGTTTTCAAAAGGCTGAGTTGTTCCCAAATCATCAATTTTATAATAAATTTGATATTAAATTATTAACAAAGATAGAAAGATAGGATCCCTCAAATCCCCCAAAATTTGAGTAAATAGTCAAAAAGCTGAACAATGACAAATACCAAATATTACAATGTGCTTCGGAAAGCAGATGAGCAAAGAAGATCTTTAAAGGTGGGAGTAAGTCATACAGATGTCTGAGGGTAAACTATTACAATGGCAAGATCAAGTACAAAGATTTTTGAGGTTGAAATATAATGGGGATATTTTAGTAAGAACTGTCATGCCATTGTGGTTGAGGGGGTGAGTCAGGTTGCAAGTGGAAGATGAGGGGCAGGGAGAGAGGCCCGTGGGTAGAAAAAGGGCTTTTATTTTGGGGGGCGGGGAGAGCAATAGGGATTTAACCCAGGGGAGTTTTGCCACTAAACTACATCCCCAGTCCGTTTTATTTTTATTTAAAACAGGGTTTTGCTAAGTTGCTTAAGTCCTCCCTAACTTGCTGAGGCTGACCTTGAATTTGCAATCCTCCTGCCTCAGCCTCCTGAGTCATTGGGATTATGTATACACCAGCACACTTGATACTTTTTTCCTTCTTTTTTTTTTTCCAAGTAAAATTAGAGTATTGTGACAGAACAGGATTACAAATCTCTAAGTAAAAGTGAGAAATTATGCCCCTGTGTATGTAATTAGTACTTACTAGAAATTCTCTAAGAGTGTATGCTGTGTTCCACATATATTAAGCCTAGACTAGGACCAATTACAGAATAAGCATTCAATAAGTATTGTGAGTAGATGGTTGGAGTTTTGCATTCTGGACTACGTAATGGCACCAGAATGACTGAACACTTATTTATCCATTATCAAAGTGGGGATAATATGACATCTGGGATTAGCTTCAAAATAACTTTGTGTCAGGGGTAAAGATGGTGAGTAGAATTATAAACTAAAAAAGATTAGCCATGAGTTGATTGGTAGTGAAGCTGAATGAGAGATACATGGAGACTTATTCCACTATTGTTATCTAGTTTTGTGTATGTTTGGAATTTCCCACAGTGAAACGTTGGAGGAGGAGGAGGAGGAGAGGGAAAGGGGAGGATCCTTTCTGCCCTCATCTGCTTTCCAAAGGAAGCAGTAAATATTTCAAATATACATCTAAGAAATACAACCATAAATCTGAATCCCAAACTCCTAAACAGAGATTGGAAGAAGGATTTCCATGCCTTTCATTCACTAGTTTTCTAAGTAAAAATGTTTTGAAGTCATCAGAAAATGGGCAATATAAAAAATGTAAGTTCAGAGGGAAAATACTTTACAAAATCAAATAAAATCCTTCCCTTCTCCCCTACATACATTTATATTTAAATATTTCCCCCAATCCACATAGGAAGAACATTTTATACCTTGGGAAAATAATGATATAACAGGTCACAGGAAAAAATAATTTAAATCTTGAAACCGATGAGAATAAAAACCATCAAGAGAAAATATCAAGAGAAAAAGAGCTTGAATCCTCTCCAACCACCCAATTATTGGGAAATGATAACCCTAATACTGGAGCAAGAGTGTCAGAAACAGAAAGTGGGGAATAGAGGGCCCTCAAGAAAGAATAGAGAATGACAATCTGGGCGTTTCCTGGACCAACAGCCATGAAAAACTGAATCTTCATTCTTGAGTCTAAGAAAGTACCAAGAGATCCATCCACACATATATGGTACATAGCACAGCCACAGTGGTGACAGCCACACAGTGCTCGCCCTGGTTTAGGTGAGAATGTTTCCTGTGTGTGTGAGAGAGTAATGCAGGCACACTCCAGAGAACTGACAGGATTTGAAGTAGAAACACAAATGGATATTGCAGAAACCTATATGAGCCAGTGACTAGTGATCTCACTGGGAACTGGAACATCTCAATAGTGACAACCAGGATAAAATGTCCCCTAATCCCTTACCCCATAATATTATACTCTGTAAGTGCTACAGAATTTAGATGTAATTTTGGAAGGGGGCACAATCAATTGAGAGTACTTTTCCCCACATTTCTAATAAGTAGATATAAAAGGGAACTTAAAAGTCTATATAAAGGCTGGGTGCAGTGGCGCATGCTTGTAACCCCAGTGGCTCAGGAGGCTGAGGCAGGAGAATCGTGAGTTCAAAGCCAGCCTCAGCAAAAGCAAGGCACTAAGCAACTCCGTGAGACCCTGTCTCTAAATAAAATACAAAATAGGGCTGTGGATGTGACTCAGTGGTCAAGTGCCCCTGAGTTCAATCCCTGGTACCCCCCTCCCCCCAAAAAAGTCTATATAAAGAAAAATGCTTATGTTCAAATACAATGGAGCAAGACACACAGCAGCTACCTAAATCAGCATTTTAATGAAACTTTATCAACTATTCATAGGTAATTAATTAAGTTGGTAATAGAAAGGGATATAGAATTTTAAGGTATAAATCCTGCTATGTTTTATCTCTACTTTCAGCACAGTAATTTAAAATGCACCTTATCTACCTACCTAAAAAGGATATACCATCAATTTATTTTAGAATGTAACTCCAAAAGTGCTTCCAGTAGGCATCTGATAAATAGAGATCAACAAGGAAGGGCAGGATACAGGATCATCATGAGGTAACTGGGAAACAGACTGTTTACACTGTGTGCTCAGGAAAGCAGATGATGCTTACAGTGAGTAAATAAGAGCTAAAAAAAATCACTATGTGTATTTTTCTGTCTTGCAGTGATAAATGGGTGTATGCACGTATGTGTGTATTGCTATGTATATATTTGTATCTTTTCATATGTGTTTATGTATAAAGACAACAAAAATTAAGCTGCTTCAGGGATGACCTTCACAAACTAGTCCTGTTAATCTAAGCCCAATATACTTTGAAATCAACAGAATAACATAAATAGGATTGTAAAGAGAAAAATTAAATGTTTCCCTAATAATGTCACTAAATCTGAATTCCATATAATAAAATTCTCAAAATTCCAGAAAGTTCTTTTAAAATATAACTTTCTAACTCTTGAAAAAAAAAATTATGGGTAATTCCTTTTTGGGATTTTTAGATGTCTTCTGTACTATAACCATGAATGCATACAGAATTTTTTTTAATTGCCCCATATAAAAATAAGTATTTATTCTCTTTT